GATTATTCTCTGACCGGGACACCTGACTTAGATGAAATTCATCAAGTGACACGGCCTCTTCTCTGACCGCCTGCAGATATTTGATCATAGCAGGATGGGTGGCCTCGTAGTCACCATTGTACTGGCTAACAATCAATTGAGAGTCTGAGAAGGCGGCAATCTTTGTTGCCCCTGCTGCCTTACACATGCGTATACTGGCTAGTAGGGCTTCATACTCCGCCTCATTATTAGAGGCTTGGAACCGGAACCGTAGTGCATACTCAAACTTATCCCCTTCTAGAGAATGACATATGACGCCTGCACCACAGTCGTTCACCGTAGAACTACCGTCTACGAATAACTTCCAAACCTGATCAGGATTTTCCGGTTGCACCGACCTAGCCATCTCGACAATGAAGTCGGCAAACGCCTGACCTTTCACTGCCCGCCTGGGTTCAAAAGTTATCTCGAGGCTCTGTATTTCAACAGCCCACTTGATCATTCTACCGGATGACTCGATGGTGGTCATTGGGCGCTTGAGCGGCTGGTCTGTATACACAATCACCGGGTGAGCCAAAAAGTAGGGCTTCAACCGTTTTACTGCGACGAACAAGGCCAACCCAAATTTTTCGATCATGGGGTACCGGAGTTCAGCATTCTTAAGAACATGGCTGATGAAATACACCGGGAGCTGATTACCGTCTCTCTCAGCGAGGAGAACGGCACTAAGGGCATGATCAGAGACAGCTAGATACATATCAGAGCATGACCGGCTGCTTTACCGGCTGTAGGCATCCATGAAACTCATCAGAGCATGACCGGCTGTAGAATCGACCAGATTGTCGATCTTTGGAAGCGGGTAACTGTCCTTTAGGAATGCTCTGTTCAGATTGTGTAGTCTACACACATCCGCCAGGTACCATTCGGTTTTTTCACGAGGACAACGTTTGCTACCCAATCCGGGTAGTAGCATTGCCGGATGAACCCAACATCTAACAATTTTTTGACCTCAGCTGCTGCCGCCTGAGATCTCTCTTCACCGTGATCCCTCTTTTTCTGCCTGACCGGCTTCTTTTTAGGATCCACGGTAAGCTTGTGGACAGCTAGATCCGGGCTGACGCCTGGCATCTCTTCCACTTCAAAGGCAAAGATGTCTTTGAATTCTCTTAGAAGTTGGAGCAGGTCTGCTCCCAACCGTTCATAAGCAACCGTCCCAACCTTGACAGCTCTGTCAGGACGGCTGTCGTCGAGGACGACATCAATGCAGTCACTAGCCGGCTGAGGTCGTTGATCATCTGACCTTTCCCCGGCTAGTGATTGCTATTTTTCTTGCTTGACGGGATCCGTCTGGCCCGCCTTTCTTTTCTTACCGGCTGCCCTTGGAGCCGGGACTGCTGCATCGCAGTTATCAAGGTCTACGGGGTTGTCGTCTCCGGCTGCCCCCATAGTAGGTCTGACGTTAGAGAGATAGCACTCCCTAGCCGTCCTCTGGTCCCCCTTAGGGAACCGACTGTACCATCGTCCTTTTAATATTTGACAGGCATGAGGGAAGGAATGATGACAGCCTTGGACTCATTGAGGGTCGGACGGCCAAAAATCATGTTGTAGGCGGCTATCTCTTCTACAACCAGGAATTTGATCACCATGTGGCGTCCTTCCCCCTTTTCACCCAGCCGGATGGGAAGATCTATGCTCCCTACCGGATGCACTAAACCTCCCCCAAAACCAACAAGCGGGTGGGGCGCCTGGTGCATGCTACTGGATTTATACTTGAGCTTGGTCAAGCACTGATAACTGATTAGGTCAGACGAGCTCCCGGTATATATTAAGATCCGGCCAACTCTCTGATTGGCAACCTTGCATTCGATGACTATGGGGTCATCGTGAGGCCGTCTGACCTTGCCCCGGTCCTTTTCAGAAATAAGGACCTCGGGAAATATGTCTTTCGACGCCTGGGTCTCCTCAACTGAGTTAACCAGCTTCTTGATGTTATCTTTGGTGCCCCGGATAGTGGGACCCCCACCGGCAAAGCCGCCTGCGATTGTGAAGATTGTCTCTCCATCCGTTTCTGAATTGGCAAGAACAACTTTTGCCGCCTGCCCTTTCTTGGCCAGGGTGTTGCCCTTGGCTTTGGGCAGATAAGACTTTAGAGCCCCTTCATCAGCCAGACGGTCTAATAGCCGCTTGAGGCTATAGCAACCATTAGTGTCATGGCCAACATCCTCATGGTACTGACAGTATTTGCTTTTGTCCCGGCTGCCTACGGGGCTTTTCATAACAGCCGGCTTGTCGAGAGACATCCGGTCCTTAATCTCCATGAGGATGGAGGAGCAGTCCTTTGTGAACTCGTACTTGGTAACACACGGTTCAGATTTCCGTCTGAGCTTCTGAGCCGGTTGACCAGATCGGTCTGCCGCCCAGACCTCCTTTCTCTTCTTTTCTTCCTTTTTAGCCGGTTGTTGTTGTTATTGCCGGCTGTCTCTTCTGTCGGATTTTTTGAAATCCGACGGCTGCTTTACAGCACAAAGCTCCGTCGCCTGTATGTAGGCTTCAGCTTCCATTAATGCCTCTTGGAGGGTGGCTACCCTTTTCCGGACGAGGTCAAACTTGAAGGTTGACCCATACTTCAGACCCTTAAAGAAGTCTGTGTAAGCAACTTCATCAGACAGCCCTTGAATCTGAATCCTCATCAGATTGAACCGCCTGACATACGACTGGAGCCCTTCTTTGTCACCCTGCTGTATTGCCCCCAGATCGAGGCTTGTCTTTTTAGCCGGGATGTTCATTGAGAAGTTTGACGTAAACAAGTACGCCAAGGTCTTGAAGCTGTTGATGCAGCCGGCTGGTAAGTTACCAAACCACCATTGGGCAATGCCCTTCAGGGTAGCCGGGAAACATCGGCACCAGACGACATCATCCAACCCCTGTAGGTACATGAGGTTGGAATAAGCCATTAAATGATCTTCTGGGTTGGAGGTACCATCATAGGCCCCTACCAACACGTTTTTGATCTTGGCCGGCTGTGCCGCCTGGGTTATCTCAGGGGAGAACGCCGAGGGCTGTTCTCCCAAATTCAGCAGGCGCTGCTGCCAATCCATGAGTTGGAACGACTGCTGCACATTTCTGCCAAACGGACCCGTTTGGGTAAAAGGGGATCCACCCAGCCCATTCGGCGAACCAAAAAGACCAGGCTGGATCACTTGGGGTCCAGACCGGGCGGATGGTTCGCCCGTCTGACTCCCTAGACTCGTTCCCGAACGCCTGTTAGAGGTGTCACGGAAACTGTTTGGAAAGGTCGACGTTGAAGCCGATGCAGACGCCAGACTCCTCTTTTCTTGGAGAAACGTCCGGGCGTCAGAGAATATCTTTTTTGAACCATCCGACTGCAAGTGCCGGATGGGTTTTCTGGGTTCCGCTTGCGGGAAGCGGAGCTGGTTTTGATCGAACCTGAGGCCCTCCCCCTCCTTCGGCTTTGGATGAGGGGTAGGGACCCGGTCTTTGATTGCCTTCTTGTTAGAAGGCTTCTTGGCCGGCTGACTCTTCTTGGGAGTAGCTGATCGAATAAGGTTCTGGATCTCGCCTTTGAAACTATTCATGAAGGTCATGAGTTCGTTCCTTGTGACGGGAGCAGAGCCCTCTGCCGCCTGTGCAGCTCCAACCGGGTTGCCGGCTGGGTTGCTTGGAGCAGCTTGGATGTTTTCCTGTTCCTTCTTATCCCTAGAACGGGTGTGCTTGGTTCTGAAGGACCCGTCTGGGGCCACATAGGTGTCGAGTCCATACTTATCACCGCTTTCATGGTCCGTCTGGACCTCAGGCTCGGCCGATGGCCGCCTGTCCTGATCCGGTGGTACAGGGTTAGAAGCCATCTCAGAAGTACTCTCCCCACAGACGGCGCCAAATGTTTCGGGGTTTTCTGAAGTGTCCTGCGGGAGAGTTACAATTCCAAGAATGCCCTTCGACCGCCTGTACCTGCAAAATCACGAAGACTCCAGTTGGGTGGAGCTCCGCCTCCGACGATCAAGTCAGTGATGTACGGGAGGAAGAAAGTGTGTAAAAGAGTAATTACTTCTCGCGTAATGGGAGAATTCCGCAATTAAGATTGTTCGGTTTTGGTGTAAAAGTCTTTATGATTGTATTCAATGCCAATTGAATGCCCCATTAATGAGGATTCTCCACTATTTATAGTGGGGAGCATTGGTTCCCCATTTAGGGTCCCTAGGACACGTGTCAGCAGGGGATTGGAGCCCTGCTGACCAATGGAAAGGTGCCACGTGTCGCTCATCCATTGGGCCACGTGGCTGGGGTAATTCTACCCCAAACAACTCGAGTTGAAATCAACTCGAGATCCAAATCAACCTAATATTTGAGACCCGAACCCGAACATGACCCGACTTGAAAATGACCTAACCTGATTATAACCTGCAAATTATTGACCCGACTCGAACCCGAGAATGACTCTAACTTGTTTTAACCAGTTAAAACCCGAATTAAACCCGACCCGAATGTAACCTGACCTGTTATTGATCCGACCTAACCCAACCCAAACCCGATAAGATGTATGATCCGACGTGACCCGACTCAAGCATGACCCAACTCAAATCCGACTCGCATAGGTTACGACGTTAACTCGAATTGACCCGACCCGTGTTGACTTGACCCACACTAACCCGACCCGTTTACTAGAATTGACAGCTCTAGTCAAGTTACCTAGAATAAGAGGTCATTGACTTTCGTTGATCGATTTGGGTTTGAAGAAAGAAGACGCATGTGAAAATTGAGATTATTTAAAGTAAATCGGGCAAAATTAAGATTATTAAACTGTATTTTTTTTTTGGTGTTCTAAACGGTTCAACCTTTGGGCTAATTCGGATTTGGGGAGTAGTTGTGGGTGGTTAGTTTACAGTCCCTTTCCAATTGTTATTGTGGGGGATCAAACACGCAATCTTTCCTACTAATTGCAACCTTAATGACCACTGCACCAATAACCAGTTAGTACTACTAATATTTATTTTAAAAAAAAATTGAAAATGTTACCCTAAAAAAGTAAACGTGAAATTCCTTGATTCAAAAAAGAAAATCTGAAAAGTAGTCACAGTTAGCACAGGGACTGATAGAAATTGGTCCGCAACTCCGCACCGTTTGTGATAAACCCTATAGCCACCATTTAAGCCCTATTTTCATTGTTGTTCTTCTCTTTCACTTTTAAAACCCAGAAATGGTGAAGCTGAATGCAGATTTGATTTGGAAGAGTCCTCATTTCTTTAATGCTATCAAAGAGCGAGAATTAGATCTTCGAGGTTTGTCTCCTCAATCATTTTTTGTAATTCTCTGAATCATTGAGAGTGTTTATGTCACAAAGTTAGCGTTCTACAGATTATCTATTTGAAAAAATCCCGAATCAATGGCGTGCTGCTTCAATGTCATTTAGGCAGGGAATTCCCCGTTCTACCATAACTTAGCAATTAGGTTAAGCAATTTTTAATTATCTTTGCTTGCTTAATGCTTATCAACAACACTTCTGTTTGATGGAATATCAATGTTATGTGTAATTATTTGTTAGAGTTAATTGGAGCATAACAATGGATGGTGGTGTCTTTTGGCTACTTACTGTTTTGTATCCTCTTGTTGCCTTCAACGCTAGTCTCGTCTTGCAATCCTTGGTCCTCTACCCTCTTGTTGCCTTTGATGCTAGTCTCGTGTTGTAATCTTTGGTCCTCTACCATATCTTGTCGCCTATGATGCTAGTCTGCTGTTATTATCTATAATTATTTTGCTCCAGAACATCAATCGTATTGTGGACATTAATTCCGTTTGTAAATCTTTATCCTCGCTGTGGAAAGATCCATCAGGAGCGTTTTTTCATGTTTCAATTACTACAATCTACTTATCTTTCCCCTTTATTCCACAGGAAACAAGATTGCATATATAGAGAACTTGGGTGCAACTGAGGTAATTTCTGTTCAGAGAGAATGCATAACTATGATTTTATCCATGCGTTATGCTCCCCTCCATGTTATTGCAAGCTTTATTATACAAGTATACATTTGTTTTAGGTTTTCTGATGAACCAGTTGCTTTAGGATTTGGGACAGGAAAAATTACTGTTTGAACCTTGTTTCTGTCCCGGAGTAGTCTGGCTACTATTTAAACTATTGTAAAATTCCAGATGCAATATTGTAGTGAAGCTTTCATGGAGCAGTCTAGCTACTGTTAGTCTGTTACATTATTTTAAAAGTTCCAGATGTGATATAATAGTAAAGCTTATGTTATGTTCACATAAGTTATAGCTGGTAAAATGTGCACTGTTCAGTTTTTTAACGGCTGATTTTGTTGAATAGCTTTACTGGTGTGTCAGCTATGTCCTCACATTTGTAGTCATACGTTGTTGCTTAATTGAGAATACTTTGGACAATACTTATTTGGCTTTCATTTTTTAACACTGATGTGCAGGATCAATTTGACACAATTGATTTGTCAGACAATGAGATTGTAAAGCTCGAGAACTTCCCTTATTTAAACCGATTGGGAACTTTGTTACTGAACAACAATAGGATTACGCGCATAAATCCGAACATAGGAGGTGAGATGACTCATTCACTCTCACCCTTCTCTTATATTCTACTTGCTTGAGAAAGAGGTGGGAGCTCAGGTGACACAGTTCCTTACATCTTCATTTTGGAGGTTGGGTGTTCAAATCTTATTTATGCCAACTGCCATTATCTTGCTTGAATCTTTGACAAATTTTAAATGTTTGAATTTGCAGAATATCTGCCAAAACTGCATACACTTGTTCTTACAAATAATCGACTAGTCAATTTGGTTGAGATTGATCCACTTGCATCAATTTCAAAGCTGAAATTTCTTAGCCTGCTGGACAATAATATTACTAAGAAGCCAAATTACCGCTTGTACGTGATATACAAATTGAAATCACTGCGTGTGCTGGACTTCAAGAAGGTGAAGCAAAAGGTAGTGAAATGCATTTTCTCACATTTTGCCATGCAATTATGATTGAGCATATTAGTTTTGAAGATTTTTGTGCTGGCGGATTTGTACAACTTCAAAGTTTTGCAGCATACATATCGATTTGTACTTTCTAAACCCCACGATTTTTAGAAGCAGGAAACAATCGCTACCACTTTATCGGCATAGGGTTCTTTCTCTTATTGCATATCTTTGAGATTGTGTGTTTGATTACGAGTCGTGGACTCATGGTTGGTACTTGAAATGGATGTAGTTTTGCGCGGAAGTGTGAACTGGTTATGCCAAACTAGCTTACATATCAAGTAGTTAGACAAAAGACAGCAATGTCTAATCTAAATGCTACTATGGCATACGAAAGCCCCGTGACTACAAGTTTATATGCAAGGATTAAGTGTTGGTGTAGTTCTTGATTTTACCATGTCTTCAAGAACTAATCAAGAACAAAGGAGATAATTAGAGTTGAGGATTTCCAGTTTCAATTAACTAATTTATGGCATGAAATGATGGGAGAGTTTGAAGAGAGAATGTTTGGTGTTAGTCAATTTTGGTTTGGTGTTGAGGATTTTTACTATTGAAGCCATAAAATTTTTCACCATCCTTTATGAATCACACTATATACTAACTATGGGAAATGGATGCATCATGGTACTTTTTAAGATATGGGAAAAGTATATTAATGAGTGTCTAGGAAGTTTTGTTTTAAGACTAGTTTGAGAACATCAAGAGGCTAAAGAAAGCAATATATTATTTTGTTATTGGGTTGCATTTAGGGTAATTCTTACCACTCCCCCTACTCCCCTCCCATTTTTTTCCGGTCTGGAGATGGATTCTTAATGAAGATAGTCATGAGAATTTTCCTTTTTGTATGTATTTGTAGAAATTATCTTGTTAGTGGGTAGTGCAAGTAAGGGTACCAACAGTTAATTAGAAATCTTAGAATTTGAAGTCAAAAGAGATTCAAGTTGGGTGAGTAATGGCAGAATGTACACTAAATGTTTGGGTGATTGTAGGTGACAAAGAATTCAATCAGGATTGGGATTTAGGACAATTGCCATGTTTTAGTGGGATTCAATGATACTATTGATCTCTATCACTCAATTCTACAATGAAATCGAAGGAAACATGATAAATCATGGTATATGTTGGGTGGTTGAGGTAAAGGAACACATTAGGGGTCCTATGTGACAAGAGAATACCCTGTTAAGAAATCAAATTATGATTGTATGTGTGATAGCATCTACTATACCAGGAATATCAAAGAACCCGATCTTTGCAATTGCTCAGGATACCCTTTTTTAGCTTCTAGAGTCTATTTCTTAGTTCAAGATCCCTCTTGCTAACTGGAATAAAAGAATTAGTAGATCTGTTCCGCCCAAAACAAGAATGGGCTAGGGTTATGAACTTATAATCTAGAATCTGATGATCGAGTCGATTCCATGACTATAAGTTCATTCCATACCGGACCAGAATAGGGTTATATACATGCTCATTATGAGAAGTTCCCTGTTAAGAAATCAAATTATGGAGTTCTTGACACTTTGTTATGCTGCAGGCAGTGAACTGAAGTTTATGAGTTTGTGGGCAGATATAAGAAGAGGTAAATCAATAATGAGGTGGTTAGAGACAGTTGGAGACCTTGGGTTAACCTTTGCATTGCAAGTAGCACAGCTATAAAGATCAAGCTAAGGAATAGTGAAAAAATAAAGAAAAGAGAGTGAGGTGGCCTAATAAGAATTAGAAAAAGAGGGATCACATATGAATTAAGATAGATTAGGACATAGCTTGTGATAATATTTACATAACTTTTAAAACCAGCTCTAAGTAGGTAGCTTTTCTTTTTTTGTGTTGCTAGGGCACTTTTGCCCCATAAAGTTGTGTTGCTAGGGCGCTTTTGCCCTTTGTTCACTTCTCTTTATTCTGCTAGCTCCTTTTCCTTGCATGGTTGTTACTTCAGTATGATACTTGCATTGCTTTATTATTTTTTTCCCATTCATATGTTCTTACCTACAATCTTTTCAGAAATAAATTTCTTACCCTTCCTGGTGTGACAAATTGCTTGTGTGCGTGTCCAATCTTTTTAGAAATAAATTTCTTACCCTTTTTTGGTGTGATAAATCGCGTGCGCGTGTGTATTTATGGGAGTGCGTGTGTGTTAAGGTTTAAGCTGTCTTAAACATGATTGATTTTTAGTACAACCCCTCCACTGCTTCCTTTTTCATGTGTAAGTTTGTAAATAGTCTGGACATCTGTTTCAATCACACTTTTTTATGCTCTGTAGTATTTTATAGATCCTTAACTTGGTGTTTTTATCATCTATATAGGAACGAGAAGAGGCAGATAAGCTCTTTTCATCCAAGGAAGCTGAAGAAGAGGCCAAAAAAGTTGTGAAGACAGTCACATCTGAGGAGGCACCCATTGTCGAGGAAGTTTCAAAAGAAGAACAAGCACCCAAAGCTCCCACTCCAGAGCAAATCATAGCTATCAAGGTATATTAAGGGGCTTGACCTTTATTGTCTCTCCATAATGAGATTTCTGTGCTTCTCTATGACGCTGAATTTCCTGCTTTAGTATACTATGATGTTTTACTACATTTTAATGGCATTAGGGATAAGTGTGTGAGAGTCAATACATTATGTAAAACCGTCTTGAATATCTAGACATTTCAAGCTGGGAACAAAATGTTGGGTATTCACAATATTTAAACTAAGATGGGCCTATAGCATACATAATACATGGCATATATACTTCGTTGTAGATTGCTAAGTTGCTAATAATGTTTAATGTAAATGTATTGGTAGATTTATCTTAAGACATACCAACAAAATAATCTTTTATTGTTTTGATTGTTATGTAGTAAAAATATGCTTAGTGTAGGTCACACTAAAATGGGCAAAAATTCTTGATAAATCATGATGTGGACACATAAAAAAAATGGATTATAAAGAAAAGAAATGAAGCATTCAAGTATGTTTAAGTCATATGGGTTTCTATGTTTCGGATACAGGATATACACCTGTGTATCAGGTTATAGACTTGCATTTCATTCTAAAGATATTAAAGAATGTAATAAAGGTAGAAGCAAATGAAGAAGATTATGTAAAAAAATAGGAAAATTTGGCTAGAACAGCATTCTGTATGTCATATTTTGGAAATAACAACTACTACTGTATCTTATATGTTCCAAAATTTAAGGTTTTTGGTACTGCTTAATAGAATGTATAAAACCCATTGAAGAGGCACATGCCACATTTTAATTGACCAGTCTATTATTATCAATATTTTGATTTTTTTTTTCTGCTTATTTTTCATTACTTTCTCCCTCTTTGTTTTTGTATAAAAGAAACTTACAAAAACCTAATCCTCCGGTGACCTTTCTCGCCCATTTTCTTATACCTTCCTCCTCCCGTGCTCTCATAACAAAGTTTGTTGGGCTGAAATTGCGTTGTTGAAGTTAGGGAGTTTAAAATTGCTCAATTATTTTAAATTGCTACATGATTGGAATTTGGTACCTGGGAAGGAGCAATGTACATAAAAGCTCAACGCACACTAAGGCAATGGGGTTTAGGGGTCTTGCCAAGCTTAGATATGCCTGATTGAAGTGGTGCTCTTTTTAAAACAAATATTAAAAAAAAGTTAGAGTGAAATATATTGATGTGAGCTTCAGAGAGTAAGGGATAGCTCAAGTGGTTAGATTTTCCCTACTTGATTGAAAATCGCACGCCCTTGTGGCTCTTTAAAAAAAAAAAATTAATACTGATGTGAGCTTCAAACTCTTCTCTTAGATTGCCTCACCTAGGTAAATATTGGTGCATCACCTCTAGCACTTTAACTTACCTTTATACACTGGAAAAGAGAAATAGAGAATCCATGAGAATTATACAAGGAGGATAAAGAGTGAGAATGTACCGGTGAGGGTAATAAAATACCATGGGAATTGAGCAAGAAGAGAGAGCAAAAAAGATCTAGGTTGGTGAAGAGTGTTGGGCAGGTGAAGTTGGTAATGGCTAAGATGAGGGAAGATGGTGGTTTGGAAGTGTGTGAATCGAATGAAAATAGGAAGATGGGCAGGCTACTTAAGGGTGGCTGGCGTATGGTGGGAGCTATAGAATGCCTTAAAGGAGTAGGTACTAGGTAGGGACTAGGGAGTGGTGTAATTGATTCAAGTTGAGCTCCTCGCAAGCTTGTGCGACTTGAATATTTGTACAGAGGAGGATTTTGGGCTGCCACTAGTCACGTGGCATTCCTGATTTTCCTTTTACTTTCTGTCTCCTAAAAGTTTGACAATACAAACCCTACTTTGATCCCAAGTCAGCAAGCATCAATACCGTAGGAGCATGGCTAAGGATCACGTCTTTGGCCTAAGCTTTGCACCTAGTCTCTAGGGTATGTATCGCTTTGTAATGAACTGACTTTTGTAAGAATAAGAATTGAAAAAGAGACAAAAAATAGCAGAAAGGTTTAAGCTTTCTTTGATTTCAGCCAAAAGGTTAACAAGATAACTTGAGGTTTTCACTCTCAACTTCTCAAGGGGTAACTTCAGGTTATCAATCTTTTTCTATTTTCTCAATGCTCAACATCACATTAAGGCTAAGCCCTTCTTCTTTATATATAGTACAAGCTTACTACAAAAAGCACTGAAATCTTAATTACTATTTGACTTCATTTGCTGACCACAGTCACAGCGCCCCTTCCCACCTTGTTGAACTCATCTCAGTGGTATGCTGATTGCTTTTGTCTGCTTGTTGCTGATCCCCTTGCAAGCTAGGGTTCTTCCCCCTCCTTGAGTAGACTTTGAGTGGTGGCTGTACGGCTTACTGCTGATTCATCTCACACTTCGGTGCGCCTTTCACCTATTATTACATATATATACTAACTCGAGCTCGAGTAGCTTGCGAGTTGTATCGTATCATTAATGCCCCTAAGATTAAAATTGGAAAATAGTGGGACTTGTGTTTATGGCTCTTGTGGACCTAATTGTAAGTGGAGAGAAATATTTACCAAATAGAGAATTTTTAACTATAGTGGAAGATGCCAACTTTTCAGGGGTGGAGTGTAATAGACTAGGATTTTCAGATTATAAGTTCTATTGAACAAGAAATTTAAAGATTAAAGCTTGAGTCTTTGATTGATAATGGCAGAAATTTGGATACAAAAGTGATAGGTTAATAGCTTTAGGCTATCACTCTCTTGATTACTTTAGGTTATCACTCTCTTAGTAACTTGAGGTTACCATTCTCTTTCATTCCACAATACAAATCTCATTCCCTTTTATAATCAAGCAAAACTACAAAATAACCTAATATTAATAGTGTTTGTCCTCTACTGCTCAAGAGTATCAGATTTCAGCCACACTCCCTAGTGCTTCTTTAATTAATTTGTCTCCTAGTTTCATCAATTAATTTTGTCTCCTAGTGTTGCTCCTTGTACCGGGTCCGTTACATGGAGGGAGTAAAAGGCACACTTCCTCTATTTATTTATATAAAAAAGTGTTACATGTCCTTGCAGAATGCATTTTAAGAAAGAGATTAGATAAGGTTGTAAACACAAATTTTAAATCTGCAAAATATAGACTCAAATTAATTGAAACAAAATGTTAACTTTAGTGATTTGATAATTTTGGGTACAATCTCTAATTTGCTCCTCTGATTCGATCTCCACTTTAGCTTTGACTTGTTTCACGGGTTGACTTGACTTGATTGAGGGCCGTCGAGGTTTGATCTCGATCGAAGATATAGTTGATGCAGAATTTTGACTTATTGTTGATGTAGACCTTTGACTCGAATTCTTGATTGAGGGCTGACGAGGCTTGATCTCGATCAATGACTATTCGATGTAGAAGTTGAATTGCATGAACTTGTGATGTGCTTGATGTTTTGATGTTCTTCCTTTCTTTGTGTTGAGGGCTGTCGAGGCTTGATCTTTTCCACAGATGATCTTCTAGGGTAGAACGGCACGTCGAATGCTTGTTGTGCTTCCTCTAGGTTTTGAGAGGTTTTCTTTGGAGAGGTTTAGAATGAGCGCTAAGGTTTTCTCTGTTTCTCCTTATTTCCTCCCCTCAAATGAAATAGAGAGAGCTCTATTTATAGAGTGAGACACCCTTAGGGTTAGGGTTTGATGTATTTGGCTTTTGACTTGGTAATCGTGACCCATCTATTATTAATTAACCCATTTATTGAGTTTTAACCCTCAAAATAAACCTATTAAATTAAATTAAATTAATTTCACCCAAATTAAATAATTTAAATTAACAGTCAAATAACCATTAAGTCAACAATTTGACTTTTGACCTGTATAATATCCGATGTGGCAATTATATAAATTTTTCTTGCCTACAAAGGTAAACATACAAATTAGCTTAAATAGCTTAAACACGAATAACATAACATGTTTCTCTTAACAGTGTTCAGATTATATTAGTTAATGTCCATTTACCTTTTTAATCACCTTAAAATGCATGTCAAGGGGACATGTTGCACTTAATAAAAAAATGAGGAAGTATAATTTTTGAAGTAAATTTAAACAAACAATGGAAACTGTTGCAGCATTAGTACTTTAACTTGAAATAGCAGCTGCAAATTTCTTCTGGAACTCATTGCCCATATTGGAATCAGGAGAACTAGAAGGAATAAAGGATAGCAGGGTTCAGTAATTAGCTATGAAGGGGAGCATTATATAATAGCTATTTACGGACCAAGCTGAAAAAAAAAAACCAAACAAAACAAGATATACGAAACAAACAAATGTTCTGTTAACTTTGCTTAAATTTGCTAAAGAACAGATTGCTGGCAAAGAAATTTTTAAATAAGAAAATTTTAAAAAGTAAATAGTACTAATAAAAAAGACTGAAATGTGTGTGAGCATTATTGGTTATAACATTATACGAAATTTTTCTGCGAATTGCATTGCTCCACATTGGTTGCAGGCAGGAGCTAGGCAAGGAATGTGAAGGCTGAGGTCATAGTTAGTCAACGAGGGGATAATAAGAGTAATGATTTCTCAAATTCTCTTGGCTTGAGTTCATTAAATGGATGAATTTCACAATGTTTACCATTTAATGAATGTGGTGAGCATGATTTGGGAGTTTTTAATACAAAGGAAATCCATGAAATGGCTTAATAGGGATTGCAGTGCCTCTGGCTGTGTCCTACGTATGTTTTATCTTAGTCAGAAAAGAGAAATTTTGGATATAACTGATGCAGTTGGTAGATGTTACTGCAATGTAGACCATTATTGGGTATTTATGGTCTAACCAGAAATCTAAGATAGGCTAATTAGCTTTCATCCTAAATTTGGCTGAGTAGGCATCTCACTCTTCTTATTATTAGTGTTAGTGATATTGAATCTATTCTTTCTCAGGTTAGTGATAACTACTATTTTTCACTAGATCCATAAATCAAGTACTGTAGCATTTCCTCAGCTTGCCATAAACATCTACTTTTGTATGAGACATTTCAGCTAATACATATATTTTCTGAATCCTTATATACTTAGAGATGCTTATCAGGATATTATCAATTAAAAATGGAGTTATTATAAGCAAGTTAATATTTTTTGATATGATTCATACATGAGCTGGTATCTTCTGTACAACTCAATAACTTATGCTTTTCCAGAACTACTCACTGATGTGTTTGCTCCCATGTCTTGACTGTTATTTCAGTGGTTACTGATTAAAACTTGTGGCTTTAGTCATTGAGTTGATATTGAAGTTTAAATCGGGTGATCCAATAACAACTGTGTCAGAGTTTATGGGACTTGATGTTGATTTTTCTTAATTTGTGCAGGCTGCTATTGTGAATTCTCAAACACTTGAAGAAGTTGCCAGGCTTGAAAAGGTTACTAGCTTGTCGTTATGATTATTTATTCCTTTTCGTTTCAGAGATTTTCTTTGAACCTTGAAATTTTCATTTCATTTTTTTTCCCTCATTTAAACTATGTTATTGTGGGCTGGTGCTGGTGGTGGAGATTTAGGTCCTTACAGTTGTTTGCTACTCATTCTAATGATTCACTGTGACTAAACATTTTACCTCTATAGGCACTGAAGTCCGGCCAACTCCCTGCTGATTTGAAGATTTTTGACACAGAGATTAATAACAATGCAGCTACCCAGGATGACAAGATTGTTACAGATGGCCAAAATGAGACAAATGTGCCGTCAGAAGATGCTGGATTGGTCAACAAGACTGATGAACATACAGCCATGGACCAAGATTAAACGGTACTGTTGCCTTTTTGTGTACTTATTAGTAACCCACCACAAGGACTCAGTCTGTTCTCCCTAAATTCTAGCCACATGCAATTGTGCAATTTAATGGCTGTTGTGACGATCAAATTTCAACTTGGCTCTAGGCTGTTGATCATTATTTGATTTGATTATAATGGTTCAATGAGTAATGTTTAACAGAATTTATTATGAATTTAGGGCCATTATTAAGGGCTTAAGGCCTAGTCCAGTTTACCTTATTTTCATTTATTTCTTGAAAAGCAAGCTCTGGCAAGTTCAAATAAGGTTAGATAAGTTCAGGAAAACTAATTTCTGAACTTCTGATCAGGGTTAATAAGGGCTATCCAAGTTCAAATGACAACTGAAATAAGCTCTTATAAGGTCTAATATTATTTGGCTTTTCCAAATATTTTTAGCATCTGAATTTGTTTTTTTTTTTGCCTCCAATCGGCTGATCTGACATACATGTAACTTCTGCAATATTAGTTTAATAGAAGACTCTGGAGCTTATTAGACCCTAAGGTTATTGTTGTTGATCCATATGGTTTCCATTTTCTGATATTTGGGATTAAATTTAAGTGTGACAGTGATAGATACTCAACTATATTTGCTGGTTCTGGTTTGGAGGATTTATTTCTCAGATACTTATTAGTGATATAGTTGGTATGTTGTTCTTTGTGAGTAATCTGCTTCCAACTGTTTTGTTTTTGTTTGGCACTTCGATTAAGGCCCATAATCTGAGTCAACATCCTTTCCAAGTTCACATTTTCCCCAGTCCTTTGGGTGGGTGCTGGGAGCTTCTAATGATAGGCTGTGGCTTGAACTTGGTATGAATTTGTCTGATCTTCCTTTTTGTTCTTTCTTTGAATGCTTGCATTTTGTAAAGAATATGATGGGTTTTTACAATTTGCTACCGTGTGAAACTATGGTAGCTGGATCAAGTCCACTAATGTACATGCCTTCCTCATTTTTTTGTGTTTAGACAAACGTGTAGTAAAATTTTGTGTGATATTTTTTTTCATGTTCCTATTTGTTGAGGAAATCAAGTTTGATCCAGGCTGAATAATTCTGCTCTACTGATCTCAAAGATGTTTCAATAGATAAACACGGAATATAATGGGCCATCAAACACTTTCCTTACATTTCTAATTTTTTGTTATCATCTTTCTGATGGTGTCACCTGTATCGCTATGCCTTTTGTGCTCTCACTTTTTATCTAAAATCTTTGGCTCGTGTAAGTAAGATTACACTTAAGACAGACATCTGGGTATTATGCTTGCAATGTGTTAACTAAGCTTCTTTTTCATTTTTGGTGCAGAGCTTGGGTAGGCCTCGTAATTTGATATTGTCGCTTATATTTCTAACCCACAAACTCGGCTATGAAGCTCCAGCTCTTTGCTTTGAATGCTTTCCCTCCATACATCTATGGCTTGAATGTGGAGGCTACTTGAAATGCTTAAACTCATCAATTTTCCACATTATGTGTGTGTACTGATGTGTGACTTCAGATATTAATCATATTATACAGAGAAGCTGTGTTTTGGCAACAGAATAGTAAAAACTGGAGACACTAGGCCGCTGTAGTATCTTAGTTCTTGTACATTTCAGATTTGAAAGTTCTATCCAAAGCCAAAATTTTCTAGCCCGTTATTTCCTTAGTGATGTAGTGGAAGGTTTGGGCAACCAATCAAATTGGTTTGGGAGCTGTACATCTGTGTTTGCTTCTTTTTATTGTAATTTGGTTCTAAAATGATTGTATCTGGACCGACCTTTAAACCCTCGAGATGTTATGTTTGTGACTGGAATCATCTTTTGCAATTCGTAACTACTAATGCAACAAAATTCCAACAAAGTCACATATTTGAACTTAATCATTTAGCGACTTTGTAGACCTAATGAAAGATTTGTTATATTTCCACACAAACTATAGCCTTCAATTTTAAGGCCAATAAGTAGACCTAGGGAACACTCTACTTGTTCAATTGATTTTTGGAAATAAATTCCCAAAATTGATCCAAAAGTGTGAATTATAACCTTCAATTTTAAGGCGTTAATAATTTTTCACTTTGGCTTGGACAAAAAAAAAAGGTCAAGAGCTTCCTATTTATCCTTGAGACCGTCAGGTGCCATTTTGGTGGTTGAAACCATCTAGTTTGCCTTGTCACCTTTATTTGATCATTGCCACCACGACCCTTTATATCACTCCATCTCTCTTTTATTTCATTTTTTTAAGAATTAGACTTTTGATTTTTTGAATTGCGAGGTATCATTATGAGCTTAATATATACAAGTGTTATTTCGTGAATGAAGAAAGAGATCTGATCCACTCTCATAATCTTAGGATGAGGGAGGGAATGAATCTAGAGAAAGAAGATCACCATCCCCATCCCTCTCCCCCCACCTTTTTTTTATTAGTAAAGTAATAAGTGATACTCAAAACCACTATTTGTGTTATTTCTAGCAAGTATCAAGAATAAAGTCTAAACCTCTGATGGGCATTCTTTAGTCATATGGGTTTGATGCTTTTGAATTCATTGTATTAGTTTCACTTCCTACTCACAGTCAGCTGGCGCAGAGGAGAACAGCCCTACAAAATAGTAAAGCATCCTTCCAAAAGCTTCACCCCTCTATTTTTCTAAGAAACCTAAAATTATTGTGAAATTGCTAGAAGTTGAAAAATTGACACTTATATGAACGTATAAGCAACTACGTATGAGCGACTGAGAGTTGCTAAAATAAAAATATACTGCAATATCTGGACTTAAAAAATTGCTTTCTATCTGATTTCCATGATTACTCAAATATTCATGTAGTTTCATCAATGCATGAATTTGATAGCAAATAACCAGGTTGTATCACAACAATGAATCACAACAAGACTAACATACACAACTCAGGAACATGTTTTGGCCTCAAAGCCTCTGCTTTTATAGTACCTACGCACCAATGGCAAACAAGTTGATCCCAAGGTAGCATTTAATGAAATTCATAGCAAACCAAAGCAAATTAGGTATCAAATCAGATATGTGGTAGGTACAAACTAAGCGATACCAATTGAAGTTCTAGGTAAAAATGCTATAGCAATCACGAAAGAAATAGGTAATGGCGCCATCATCCAAAAGCACAACCATAGAAAGCACAGTTTGCATCCGCATTCATCTGTAGGCTTCTGGACGCTTAGGCTTGCTTTGAACAATGGCCTCAATTTTCTCCATCACTGGAGCTGTAAGCATAGGAATTACACTGATAGCTTTCATATTTTCTTCAACCTGCAATGGCAGAATTCAATTCACTAAAAATTTAATTTATGTTGATTGCTGGAGTAGAGTGGCAAGCTTAGAAAGTAAAGAATTTCGTACTAGTGGCAAATGTAAGTACGCAACAGTTGCACATTAAAAGCATTGCGCATACTCTTACTGGTAAAGTTTATTTACTAATGTGTTTTGTCAACTTTATATAGCATGAAGCATAGATTGAAAAAACCGCATATCATTTGCCTACCCTGAAAATATGATGCCTTGCATGTTTTTGATGAATTGAAGACAAAATCATTTTGAATTCTGATATACTGAATGTTTTTTAAAACTAGCACTTAAAAAATTACTTCATATTTTTGGTTCACCATTGATAATGAGCAAGGAAAAGAAGTAAACAAATGTAGAGACTACGGAGAGATGTCCAGAAACAATAAGCAGGCTTACCTGGTATTCTTTGGTTGCACCAGTAATAACTGATGAGACATTGGGATTTGCAGCACACCAAGCAATGGCTAGTTGAGGTAAGGTTACACCTAATTCATCTGCAATTGGTTTTAGTCCATTGACTTTTTTGAGGACATCGTCAACCAAGGACCTGCTTGCTAGATTCTACCATCAAATACAAGGAAAAAAACATAAATAAGCTATTCAGAAAAATCATTTATATAGATGGTAGAATGATTAGATAATTAACATCCCAATGACTGATTATCAAATACGAACCCTAGAAAAAGTAAGGGAAATCATCATATTAATGGACATAATTATATTTTTGTGATATTGTTTCAAATCAGGATGATTTAGACTCTGAAACCTGTATGAACAAAATAAGGCTCCTAACAGCGTAATGTAATTAATCTATCTTGTTGTTGGGATAAAAGAAAAACTTGTAGTATCTATCTGTATGTTGAATAAAAAGAAGTATGAATTGGGGGATACCTTGTAATTATCGAGGGCGAAACGACTATCAGGAGGAATGGTACCCTTGTTATATTTACCAGTGAGAACACCAGAAGCAAGGGGACTCCAGGTGGTGAGACCAATGCCATAGTTGGAATACAAAGGAAGATATTCAGACTCAACCTTATGCCTGGAAAGAAGATTGTACTCAGGCTGCTCAACAACAGGGCCAATCAAATCAAGACGATGAGCAACAGACCAAGCCTCGGTAATTTGTTGAGAAGACCATTCACTGGTACCCCAGTAAAAGGCATAACCCTTATCAATAACATAATTCATAGCCCTAACAGTCTCTTCAATGGGTGTTGATGAATCTGGTCTATGACAGTATATCAAATCAACATAATCCATATCAAGACGCTTCAAAGATGCTTTTGTACCTTCAATTATATGTTTCCGAGAAAGACCCTTGTCATTTGGCCCTGCTCCTCCCCAGAATATCTTTGTTGATATGACGAGGTCTGATCTTTTCCAACCGAGTTCTCTAATTGCCTGACCCATTATCTCCTCCGCTCTTCCATTGGCATACACCTCGGCGTTGTCGAAGAAGTTTACGCCGTGATCGCGGCAGCACTGGAGGAGTGACTTGGCTTCTTTCACATCAAGTTGGTTGCCGAAGCTAACCCATGCGCCGTACGACAGCTGGCTCACCTTCAAACCAGACCGCCCAAGGTTGTTGTACTGCATCCTGGAGTTGATCCTTCTTTCTCTCCGTTTCTCTGGGTATGTATGGACTGGATGTAAAATGTATTTCTCCAACAGAAGTGTCCAGATCTGATCTCTGCGCTCTGTAATATGTATGATAAGATTCCTTTGCTTTTATCGTTTCACTCACCTGCCTCTCTTTTCTGCGACCACCACATGTCCCGTTTTTCACACTCCTTAAATAGACCACTCAAACCATGTGTCCAGTTATTATCAAGTCCGATTACAAAAACAGGTAAAGAGATAAACTTGAATTTTCTATGAAAAAAGTAGGGCTTAGAATTTATATAGTCACTATGTTTAGCAACGACAAAAGTCGTTGTAGTATAGGTTATGTATTTTTTGCAATGACAAGGGTCGTTGTGTAAAGTATCTATTAAATGCGCAACAATTGTTGTCGTTGCTATAAATATAAAGGATTATTAACAATAGCAATTGCCGTTACATAGGTTTGGTTTAAAATTTTCGAAGACTTGCGCTATGAGTTGGAAGGAGGAACATAAAATATTATTTTTAAAAACATTTCTTTAAAAAACCAAACCTGATTGTGTCTCCCCAAAAACCAAACCCAGTGATAAATACCTTTTACGTCTTTGATTAACGAGTTAGGTGAAGAGTTGAAGAGTCTCGGTGAATTTCCCTTCAGCCTTAATCGTTTCTAACCTTTCCTTAAATGTTTTTACCCAAAATCATTCATTACGTGTCTTTGAAAATCATTCATTTCGTGTCCTTTTTATGAAAACGTCCAAACAAGTTTATTTTGGTCCATAATTCTGATCTAATAATTGTGTAGTTAGATGGGGTTTGAACAGAGATTTCCAACGATATATTATAAGCCCAAATCCGAGTTATAACGAAGAAGTTATGGCTAAAATACTAAACTGGGCCTAAATCGAGCCTTAATTACGACCCAATGACCATGTGGAAGGTCCATTAACCTAAAATATCATTCCTAAATCCCTTAGAATATATTATTAGCTTTTATAAGGTTCTAACTTGTCCTGTTTTTGAAAAGATAAAGATTTAAGAATTTTACTTCGGATAAAACACTTGTTTTTCAATGATTTTAATAATGATAAAATTAGAATACGTACGGGAATTGATTAACCCAATTTGATTGGAATTCGAATTCCCTAAGGATTCTATCTTCCAAAAAGTATCGCTGAGCGATAAAAATATCGCGCTGCGATACGCATATCGCATAGCGATGGCTTATCGCGGATTCTGACTCTTTGCTGATCTTCTGTAATACCCCGTATTTTTTATACGTATTTTAATTTTAATAAGTATTTCTTAAAGTATTTAAATAGTTTGAAATGAATTATTGATGGTGTTTCATTAATTTAAAAAGAATTATTTTAATTAAAAATTTATTTTTAATTATTTAAAGTTTGGGGCATATTATTTTATAAAAGGAAATTTTAAAGTCAATGAGTTTTTAAGGAAAGTCAAAATACTAGTTTGAATAGGAAAGAGATCATTAAGGGTAGTAAAGGAATTTTAACTTTTTAAGTAGGAGGGTTATTGAGAGAGGGTACAAATACCCATTATATGCCCAAGGTGGAGAGTACCCAAAGTTAAACTCTCTCACTCTCCTCTTATTTTCTTTTCCCATTAATTTTTCCCCTTCCCCTTTATTTTATTTTCTTTGGTTCATCCCCACCCACACACACACCACCACCGCCGACCACCACCACGGCTGGCCACCGGCCGGCGGCCACCACCACAAGCACTCGCCGGCAGCAGCAGCCACCAGGTGGGCGCGGCAGCAGCCGGCCTTGTGGTTGTGCGCCGGTGGTCGAACAATAAAAAAAAAATTATTCTTTTTGTTTTTAATCCTAATCTAGCCTTGATCTAATTATTGTTTTTAGGTTTTGTGATGATTTTTATGATGTTTGATAATAAGTATTTTGCGTATAAATTTTCAGAT